CTTCACACAATGATTTCACAAATATTTAAGTTGTGCACTAGGTACTATGGAATTTTTCGATAATTTTTTCCCCATTTTTCTTGGAAACTCTTTTTCAACTAAAATGATGGTACCAATTTTTGTTTTTTACTCATATCTTTGGAACTTCAGAGAGTTTGCAAATTGATTGAGGTTGAGCATCAGCCCCCATTTTTACATTTTATATTTCCATATATTTAAATTTCATTAAAGACCATTCTCTATTGTTTAGGAAAAATTTGCACAACTCAGCTATTTGAGGCTTTGATCATTTTTTGGAATATACATGACTACTATGTGAATGATGAGTAAACCTTAAAAGAAGGTATTCTATTAAACTATGCTTCAAAATATTTAAAAAAATGGTGTTAGTCAATCACTATACTGTAATTTTTTATTACATTGTTTTCATTGTACTGTCCTTTTTTAATACATTTGTTTAAGTATTTACATATCAGATGTCTGCTAACAAATATAAAAGCTATTATTTAGAGCTCTGTAAATAAAAAAAAAAATATAAACATAGTTCTAAATAATACTTTTAATGGGAAGAAGAAATTGTGGGGTACCAAAAACATTTGGTAAATTTTCAAAATACAAGTTACCTGTTTAAAGGCACATCCGGTATTTTTACAGTTTTTTATGTATTAATTTTATAAATTACTTGTATTTTACATCGAGAATTACTCCAGTAGCCATGAATAGAAAAAGAATATGTTGTGAGATGCTTTGGAACAATCTTGTGAAAATTGTATATTTGATTGGATACAATGGAAAGAACATTTCATTAATTGGATAAATGGATTCAGTGAACTGATTAGCATACAAATTTGTGATGAAAAACATTTCAAAGCAGCCAGGATAGCAGCTCCAAGGAAGATGGTCAATTGAATCTTCAACAAAGTCTGAGGCTTTACCACGAAAAAAATAAGGCAAGTTTAATTAAGCCAAACATTTTGTATACATTCTGTAGAAATATTTCATAAAAAGTGAATAGTAAGACAACACCATTGACAAAATTATTTTATCAGTTTAATATTTAAAGTTGCCAAGTACATGAACAAGAAAGCAAAAGTAAGTCCAGAAATAGAAATTAAATTTCAAGGGGATACTAGTACATTTAACAGCAACATTTGTTAATTCAATCGGAGATAACTCTGTAAAATATGCAGATGATTTTTGTGCAGTTGAAATTCAAATCATAAAACTTTGACTTATTTTTTGTCTTCCATCTTTTATATTCATTTTACAAACTGGTGTGAAGGTAATACTACTGTGTACAATATATAGAAAATGTGAGGTTCAATTGTTGCCAGAAAAATGGATTTGTAAAATATGTAATGTCAATTTTAATTTCTTTTTAGGTTATTTCTGTGACATATTTTCATGGTGTGGGAATAAGACTTGGTGGTCTTATACAGCTAACATGTAGGTAGGTACCAGTATGTTATTCCTGTTTAAAAAAAAGTTTTAATAAATTTCTTTGGAAATTGGCTCTTAGGCTTGAAGTCTTATAAGAAATTGGTCATAAGTCTACTCTTTCATTTATCCGTACCATTATATCAGTAAAGGAGTAGGGGCATTAAGGCCTGGTTTTGGCCCAAGAAAATAAAATGACAACTATTTCAAATTGGCACATAATGTTTGGAAATGCATAGAGTGAAGAAATATAAATGAAAAACATGATTGTTTATATGATGATGTCACAGTTACGTCATAATATGTACCGTTTTCATGAAAAAGATGAAAAATGTAGAATTTGTGCAATTTTCCATCGTTATTTCCATTACGGAAACATCGTGCGCAGCCAAGAAACAAAATAATTTAAAAGAAGCTTTATTAGAACTATTGAAATAATCTCACCAAATATAAAGTTGTTTCTTGGGTGCGCACATACTTTGCCAATCTTAAATATACTTCGAATTTGATGAAAAACAAGGAAATTCAAGAAATTTTATAAAATATACAAATTTCGTCATGATTTGTTGCCATGGAAGCTCGTTTAATGTGAATTTTTTTTTTATTTTTTGAAAACCTTGTACCTTAGTCTAGTTAGGACAAATTTAAGGATATGTATGATAACTTTTAAATTTGCAGTAATATTTGGGCCAAATAAGGGGATTATTGCCCCTGCTCCTTTAATCTGATAAAATTATGTTAAAGTTTGCTGGGTTGCTGGATAGCGATCTTATCCATAGGTTCCCAACATCTATTGCAAGTTTATAGACTATTTCTATTTAATATACATACCTTTTACCAACAATGATCCTTTTACACAATTTTTAATGACTAAACGTTTTATATTTCATGTTAGCATCACAGCTTGTCCGTAAGGATTGAGGCTGAGAATGGCCATTGGAGCTGACTTTTATGGTAAGAACTAATAGAGAGATTAATGAACTAGTCATCCAAGAGTATATAAATACCCTAGATTTTTATTATGCACAGATGTAGATCAAACATTTTAATGTTTGTAATTGTATATATAATCTCAAAGGAGAAATCAAGATAAATTAGGGACGTCAAAAATTGTAATGAGGAAATCTTGTCACCACTGTCTTTTTGGTTTTCTAAAATTATTACCATATATAAAAATAAGGTGATGTGGTATGATTGCCATGTGCCAATGAGACAACTATCAACCAGAGACCAAATGATGTGGATGTAAACAACTAAGGTCACTGTACTGCCTTCATCAATGAGCAAAAAGTATACTGTAGAGTAAGCTATAAAAAGCCCTAACATGACAAAATGTGAAACAATTCAAACAAGAAAACCAACTGCCTGATATATGATAAATCAAATGAAAAACAAATATGTCAAACATCAAAAAAACAACTTGTTTTTCATACTTTTTTTCTGATAAAGAATGGTAGTTTTAAATTGATGCCAACACTTTTAAACAAAGAAAAAGAAATGTTATATGCATCATACTTATGATCCCCAGTTAATTATTCTTTTGCATTGAATATTGTTTCAATTTTTTAACAAATATATTTAAGAACGACTATTTCTTTTTCAGAGGACTTTTTTCTGTGGCTGCATAAAATGTTTGTGTGGTATAACTGCAGAGAATGTATTTCACACAATTTTTGTGTATGTTTGAGGAAATGTTTAATTTTTTACCAAAAAAAAAATGTGTAAAGGTTCTCTATTTTCAACAGTATTGGAAGTTCTAGCTTAACTTGTATTTGCAATTTTGAAAATTTCTCATTCTTTTTTTCATTAAAACCCATGGCTGTATTCTGGTATTTCTACACATGTCCATTATTGTCTTGACATTTTTTTCTGTTATGCTTATAAGCTTATATGGATACTGAACTAGTTTTTGGTATAAAGTTTTGTAATAATGAAATTAAAGTTCATATCGTATTCATTTTTTTTCCCATCTGTCAAGATTTAATTCTTACTTTGAAAATGAAGTGAAATGGACCAATTTTACTTGAAGATCTACTTTAGATACCAGTATATGAATAATGGTCCATGAGTCAAATAACTTCAGTAAGTTAAGAATAGAGAATCTAAAAAGAAAAAAAAACAAAAAAAAACAAAAAACATGTTATTTTATTGCAATGTAATTTTTGGGTTTCCGAATTGTTAGATATATATTTTTTTAACCTTTTTGTTATTTTTATCTGAATTTAAGTTGTTAAAAATAGATTGATGATTGATTTTTGGTGTTTAACACCACTTTTAGCACGATTGGCTATATCTTGGCAGTCAGTTATTAATGGCTGAAACTGGAGTGCCTTGAGAGAACCACAGACTTTTGGCAAGAAAACAAGCAGTCTTGGTCAATTAAGATTGATGAAATGTCCATACAACATGCAGGGTTTGAATTCACAACCTCAGTGTTGACAGGCTAGTGATTGAGTAGAACTACTTGGACCACTCTGCCACCAAGGTCCTAGGTGAAAATTTCAGTAAAAAATGTACTTAATATTTTTTTGAATAGTGTTGGATTTTTGGTATTAAATTATTTTTTAATTTTCATTATACTGTTTTTTGTATTTTTGTTAAATATTTCAAGGATGTGGAGTCCTAACATGGTGAAATTTAGATCAAAGGGAGGTAATTTATTATAACCCCTGTTTAACTCCACATACTTGAAATTCCCTCAGTGTTAGCTTTTTATTTTCTTGAATATTCACTTTTGTATAACTTTTTTCAATATCAGATGTATACTACCTAATATTGACTATTATTTAGAGCTCTGTAATAAAAAAAAGATGTAAACAGAGCTCTAGATAATAGATATGTAGGGTGGGGAAACTCATGGGTCATAAAAAATGATTTGGTGAAATTTTTGAAAAAGGTTATTAGTTGAAAGTGCATCTGATATTTTTTATATATATAACTTTATGTTTAAAAAGAAATGCAGAAAAAAAATAGATTATCCATAATATGAGGACAGCCACCTTGCAAGCCAGGAGAGCAGCTCCATGGAAGATGGTTAAATAAATCTTCAGCCAAGTCTGAGGCTCTACCTAGAAAATAAGAAGGCAAGTTTATTTGAGCCAAACAATTTCTATACATTCTCTAGAAATATTTGATAAAAAAGAGCATATGGAGACGAACTGCATCCTGATTTTCTGCTTGCAAAACACCATTGACTAACCAGTGTAATATTTTCAATTTGCCAGGTGCATGAACAAGATTTTCTATTAGAATAGCAATAACAAATTTAACTTCAAGGGAGACTAGTACACTTAGCATCAAAATTTTCTTATTTAATGGGAGATAACTTTTTGTTAAATATGCAGATGATTTTTGCACAGTTGAAATTTAAATCCTAAAACTTTGACTGTTTTTCCATCTTTAAAATTAATTTTACAAACTGGTGTTGATGCTATATTATTGTTTAAAATAGTTAGAAATCAGAAAAGTATTAAGTAAATTTTAGGTTGACAGAATTGATTTGTAAAATTATGTAATGTGTCAATTTTTATTTCATTTTAGGTTCTTTCTGTGACATGTTTTCATGGTGTGGAAATAAGACTTGGTGGTCTAATACAGCTAATATGTAGGTAGGTACCAGTACCAGTATGTTATTCCATGTTAAAAAAGTAACAAATGTATAATATAGTGTTATTGAATGGTTGTTTTCATATTAATCCTATATTATGTTCAAGTAGTCGTATTGGGTTGAGGTTAGCTGTAATGGCTCGAGGTGTAGCTGAAGGCCAATACAGCTGATGAGACCCAAAACGACTGTACAAGGACATAATACAGGATTAATATGAAAACACCCATTTTATGACACCTTATTAACCAATGACTTGGAATAGCCACCAGAAGCTGATCGAGGACAAATTCAACAGTAGAAAAACTCCTACATAAACAATATAAACTAATTGGGTTTTTCATTTAAATGCAAGGAGAGTTGAATAGCCCTAAAAATTTATATACATTCATCAGTAAATAACTCTGAGCCTCTTGATTTTAACACAAGCTATCTCCCATCAAAATGATGTCATTGACGTTTGTAAACAAAATGGAAATGGCTAGGTTAGAAGTACGTGGTGAGATGAAGAAAAAAGTATGTGAAATCCATCTGGTGCCGAGGATAGCATTCACAAATGACCCTTTTCAAGGCCATCATTATTTTACAGAAAGAGTCTTCTTTTGTTGTATATATGAGGCATTTTAAGACACAAAATAATTCTCTGATTAGTGTTTTGACATTTTGTTATGGTACTACAGTATACTGGGTTAACCCAATTAAGGTGGTCAAAATATTAATACGTGTAGAAGAGCTTCTTAAACATGCACTTTAAATAGTTCATGAAAGGCCCATCTATTGTTAGTTTGGTATAATTAAACAAATGTTGCCCCTTCAAAGCGGTGCATATCCAAGATTGTCAACCCTACTGCACCCACAGAGAAATAGTCTTTTACGGTTGACAATTCTGGCTATTCACCCTTTCAACGGTCTTTAATTTATATATACTGGTGCTAAAAGAAAAAATTATATCATATGAAAAATAACAACTTTAACATCAAATTTGTTGAAATCTAATATTTCAAGTAAAACACACATCCATTTTCTGACACCTTTTTGAATCAAAAACCGTAAGTTAAAATCCTGTATTAAGACCAGTAAAAATTCTGTATGAACTGGTTTTTCTGTATCAGACCTGTATTAACGACCAGTTCTAAGACACATGGAATTGTATTAACTGGACAATTTATAATGTATTTTAAGTCATTGGTTAATAATAGAAAAATTTTAATATTATTTGCTCTAGGCTTGAAAGTTTATACGAGTTTGGTCAGAAATCTACTATTTTTGTTTATCGGTATTATAATATGAGAAGATTTAATAAGGATCTGAAATGGCCGCGGGATGTTTGCGCTTTTTCATAGGACATTTGCGCTTTTTTAAATGGACATTTGCGCTTTTTTAAATGGACATTTGCGCTTCAATTTATAGGACATTTGCGCTTTTTAAAAAAGGTTGTTTGGGCTTTTTACATAGGACATTAGCGCTTTTATGATATAAGCTTCTTATGAATTCCATCCTATTTAATCCAGGCTTAGGACCGGTAGGTTTGACCTGGCAAAGTTAAAGTCATAATTGTCATTATTGTTAAAAGTTTGATAGTCATTAATTCATAGCACAATCATGTTTAAAAGTTATTTTATAACACATTAATATTGTTATCTATAGTTAAAAGTTAACATTCTAAAGACATAAAGACGTGTATAGTCATCACAAGTCATTTTTCGCTTGATATCTGAAGCTCAGGGAATGAACAAATTTAGCTCTTGTAATCTGTCCTGGTACTTCGCCCACATTTCAAATAAATATTCTAGTTTCTCTTTCTCAGCTATTTAAATGAGGTCCCTGTTCATCAATATCACAAATTTTATTGTAATTAACCGACTGTTATTCAATGATAAAAATCCATCGTAACATAAAACAAAAATTTTCCCCGGCCCCCCCTTTTTTGGGAAAAATTTGGTTGATTATATAGGGAATCACTGAAGCATGACTGGAGCGGGCCCCCTCTTAGGCAGTCAGTGTGCCCCCACTTATGAAAATTTCTGGATCCGCCACTGACAGTATACCAACACAATATACCAACAGTGATCCTTTTAAACAATTTTGAAAACTAAGCATTTTATATTTCAGGTTAGCTTCACAGCTTGTCTGTAAGGATTGAGGCTGGGAATGGTCATTGGAGCTGAAATTTATGGTAAGAACCAATACATAGATTTATGACCTATTCATCCAAGAGCATATAAATGTGATAGATTTTTATTATGCACAAATGTATATCTTACATTTTAATGTTTCTTAAGTTATAATTGTATATATAATCTGGAAGAAGGTAAATAAAGAAGTAAAAAACTATAATTTAGGAAAATATGTTTTTTGTTATTATCTTAAATAGTCCCATAATATAAAAATTGATGTGGTATAATTGCAAATGAGACCAAATGATGTGGATGTACGCAGCTAAAGGTCACATGACAGCTTTAACAATGAGTAAAATCTAGACTGTTTAGTAAGCTATAAAAGGCCCCAACATGACAAAATTTGAAACAATTCAAACAAGATCTCCAACTACCTGATATATGATAAAACAATGAACGAAAAACAAATATGTCGGATATCGATCATACTTATTTGTTTTTTGGTAGTTTAAATTTATGGCAACAAATCACTTAAAAACTAATGAAAGAAATGTATGCATCATTATTGTAATGCCCAGTTAATAATTCCTTTGCCAGAATAATGTTTCAATTTTCATATAGTTTGACAGATATGCTTCAGAATGTCTATTTCTTTTTCAGGTAACTTTTACTGTGGCTGCATAAAATGACTGTGTGATATCACTGTAACAGTGAAGAATGTAATTTAGACAATTTTTGTGTATGCTTGAAAATTTTTTTATAATTTTTTACAAAAAATAAAAAAAAAAAAAAATTGAGTAAAGATTCTCCATTTTCAACAAGATTGGAAGTTGTAGGTTAACTTGTATTTGAAATTCAAAATTTCATTTTCTTTTTTCCATTAAAGCCCTATGGCAATATTTTGGTAGCTCTTCTCATGTCAATTATTGCCTTGATATATTATTTTTTATTCTTTTTTTTTTTCAAAAGTGAAACAGACTAATTTTACTTGAAGACCTACTTAAGAAATTATTAATAATGGTCCGTGTCTAGTCAAAACACTTCCAGTAGGTTCAGAATGAAGAATCTAAAAAAAAAAATAAAGAAAGAAAAAAGGAAAAAAAAAAGAAAAGAAAAAGAAACAAATGTCATTTTATTGAAATGTAGTTTTTGGTTTCCAGAATTGTTAGAATTGTTAGATATATGTCTGTTCCAACTTTTTTTTATTTTTAGCTTAACTGCTAACAACTTTTAAGAATATCTTACAAGAAGCATAGTTGAGGAACATCTTGATGAAAATAGATTGATCTTAGTGTTTAACTCTTGTTAGCAGAAGAATGAATTGTTAACAAATTTAGTTTTTAATGCTGTATCAATTTATCTAAAATCCAAATTATAAATATTTTTTTCCTTATTTTTACTTGCATTCCATTATTGTATAGTGATTGATGAAAAATAAAGCTGTGAAATTATTGTTATTTGAGGGGACTCATAAGTATGCCATATGGTTTCACGAAATACCCATAAGACTCATCAGTTTACATATATTTTTTAAGTTATGTATGTGTAAGTCTTACAAGTTCTTTGTGAAATGAATTTTGCCGGTTAGAAACCAATAAAGTAGGACTTGGATGGCCAAACACTATAGGGAGTATATAAAAAAAAATCCCCTGTTAAACAATTTAAGTACGCAGTTTTTGATGCAATATAAACTTGGTTACTGCAAATAAAAATGTTAGGTTTGGTTTGACTCCACTTTCTGTACATTTATACAAATTAATGGCTGTCAGTTTTATTTATTGGTTTTGTTTATATATTATAAATGCATTATTCAGCATCTGAGGCCACTCGAGTGAAAATAATTATACAGTTTGTGCAGTTTGTTTTATTTTTTCATTTTCATATGATTGAGTTTTATGTTTTTCGTCATTCATCATTATTTATATTTTAAGGACATTATAATTATAAGGTTTGTTTTTTGAGGATTGTACTCAACTTCTTAAGAATTATTTACCCCTCCTAAGATTAATCAGGAAACTGTAAAATAAGTTTTTCTTTGATTTTTATGGTTAGATGGGTGTTTAACGTCCAGTCTCAAATTAAATGCATAAATGCTTTGTACTAGACCAGCACGCTGAGCTGGATTTTTTAATGTGCTAGTTCACAATGTAACAGTCCACAGGAAGACATTCCACCTTACCTAATATCAAATACCAATTTTTAATTCTTTGGTTTGACCCAGCAGGGGATCCAAGTCCCATGACCTTCTTCACTCGAGGTGAGCATATAATGGGATGTTAAAGAAGATTTGTCTGTTTGTCCATCATCATCTCTCATCCACAGCTTATATTCTGTTGGAAGGTTTTCATTTAAACTTTCAGATTATCTTCTGTAACTAATGGCAATGTGTATTGTATTTTATTATAATGAAATTTTGGGATTCCCAATTGAAATGAATGGACCTTTTAAATATTTTGATTAACTTCAGAAGGAAACATCTTGTACAACAATTTTGTCATGTGAAGGATAGGTTGGTTTGAATATTTTTTGTTTTGTTTTTAATCTTTATTTTGATAGTTGGATCTCATTATGACAAAATTTTCATAGCATTAACAAGAATTCAGAATAAATTCTACTTTAAGACACTAATATATTACCATTTTATAAGGCTTTGCTATAACAAGATTTGTGTTTTATCTGGTTTTATATTATTTTAGTGGTTTTTATGTGATTTTATTTGATTTTATTGTCAAATCTTGTTGTATCAAGCCTTAATATGATTGAGTTTGTGGGGAAAATTGATAGATTTTGCTTATACATGCAATACAAAATATTTTTTTACATGATGAGATCTGACATTTTATGCTGTTAACTCATTCTTAAAGGATAAAATAGAAAATGAATGTATTAAACTATTGATGTAGTCCTTAAAGATTGACCAAATTACAAGATTAATGGATGCAAGTTCAAAATCTGCTCTAACTAAATCTATGTTAACATCAGCTGAACCATCCTATCCTTCGATATGAATTATAAAATGTAAGAAATGTTAAAATCCATTCATCAATTGGAGAACCTTAAGAAATTTTAAAAATGGTACACACTGTCAACAGATACTGAAGATTATTTGAAAGTTTAGGAAAAGTCTTATTTAATCCTTTAATTGTTTGGTTAAATTTGTAGATAGATAAGCAAACAGATGATACACTTGCTCACCACAGCACATCTAATGGATAAATAACGAAATAAAAACTGTTTACTAGTTATCTCCCTTAATATAAAAAAAATAAAGGTCCTTGAAAAATATAAATATACTTTTTCAATACAAAAAACTAACTTTGCATAGAAAAGAAAATTTATATAATAAAACAGCTTGGGTTAAAAATAAGAAATTAAATACAGTTAACTATTTCCTTGGTGATCTAATAATTTTTGCACAAGTCAAGATATTTAGATTATTTTAATTACCCAGTAAATAAATTGAGTACACCTCAAAAATGAATTCGATTCATGTATTTTAAAACCTTTTTTATTGTGTATAAGAATTGTAATGTTTTTGAATGTCCTTTTCAGAAGTTGAGACAAACTGATGATTCTATTTCTTTATGACATTCTATCCTTTTTTATAAGTTTGGTAAGTAATTGAAAACCTCAAGTTTATATATTAAAAAAAGAAACGCTACTTTAATAGGAAGTAATAATAACAAAATTTGGTTCATGTATCTCAAAACCAGTCCTTTTCCAGTTTGAGAACTGGTATCCATGAAATTAGTAAGAATCATCAGTAATGTCAGATATTTTGTATAATTGTAAAGTCTTCCTAATGATACCTAACCCATGATGCAGATCCTTTTCCTCCTTTTAATTGTATTATTGTAAAGTTGATAACCGTGACCAAAGGCTTATTACTAGTTATTTCTATTTCTTTGATGTTTATACACAGCTGATGAAGCAGAATGTGTCTTCTACATTTGGGTATTGTGTATCATGATGCATAATAATAGTACAATTAATTGATAAATAAAATGTATTGAAGAAAACACATCTTATACATGTTATATTTTATGTGAGTCTGAATTACTAATAAAGGGGGAAGAGGTTTCTGTGGTCTAGGGTATGAGGCAGATGTCACTTTGTGTCTATCATATCGATCTTTAAACTTTTAGAAATGTTCATGAAACTTCTTTGCTGGTTTGAACAAGACAAATAACGCTTTAGGCATTACCGGTACCTTACAGAATTGTTCATTAGATTTGATGATTACCTGATTAGCTGCCAATGCTTTAAATAGATCAAGAATGCTTAAATGATCTAATTTTATATTGTCTTATAAAAATAAGAAAATGTGGTATGATTACCAATGAGACAACTCCCCACCAAAGACCAAATGACATACAATTAACAACTATAGGTCACTGTACGGCCTTCAGCAATGAGCAAATTGACTGTCACATACAAAACACAGGGATGCTGATCTGGTGTTGGAGTTGTCTGTATAAAACTTCATTATATCTAGATGCTGGAAGAGCTGAATAATACAATCTGGTATGCAGATGCCTTATGGTCTGAGGTATTCATCTGGCATATGATCCATCATTGTTGTCTTTATCCAATTTTGAGGTCCAATGACCACTTAAAAATTGTATAGTTTTTGTCTCGCCTTGACGGAGTCAAAAAGCGAGACATAGGTATGATGTTTCCGGCGTCGGCCTCAACAATGTATTAGTTTGTGATTAGGTCTAGTTCATGGTGAACCACTAGTGGTAGGTCAGTGATATTTGGTCTGCAGTTGTATTAGCATTGGCACATCTCATTACCACGGAGATTGTTTGGCCCCGCCCCCTCAGTCAAGGTCTATTGACTTTGAAACTTTGCTTAGTTTTCATGTATTAGTTTGTAATTAGGTCAGTTTATGGGGAACCACTAGTGGTAGGTCAATGATATTTGGTATGCAGTTGTATAAGCATTGGCATATCTCATTTCCATGGAGATTATTTGGCCCTGCCCCCTCATTCATGGTCTTTTGACTTTGAAACTTTTGCTTAGTTTTCATTTATTAGTTTGTTATTAGGTCAGTTTAAGGGGAACTGTTATTGGTAGGTCAATGATAATTGGTATGCAGTTGTATAAGCATTAGCACATCTTATTTCCATGGAGAATATTTGGTCTTTATCCCTCAGTCATGGTCTATTGACTTTGAAACTTTTACTTAGTTTACATGTATTAGTTTGTGATTAGGTCAGTTTAAGATGAACCACTAATGTTAAGTCAATGATATTCGGTATGCAAATTTATTGGCATTTGCAAGTTTCATTTCCATGGATTATATAGCCCCACCCCCTCATCATGGTTCATTGACTTTGAAACTTTTACATAGTTTACAAGTAATGTTTGTGTTTAGGTTTGTTGAAAGGGAACGACTTATGATAAGTCAATGGTATTTGGTATGCAGTTGTATTAGCATTGGCACATCTCATTTCCATGGAGATTGTTTAGCCCTGTACCTTCAGTCATGGTTCATTGACTTTGAATATTTGCATAACTTGCATGTAAAGTATTGCTATTTTAATTTCAACATTTGCATTATCAAAATAACAAATAGGCGAGACATATCTCTGTGTTAACAGTTTATGTTATGATTTTAATCTATTTTTACTTGATTTCTAAAACCAAAGTAGAATCAGGTGAGCGACACAGGCTCTTATAGGAGCCTCTAGTTTTTCCTAACACACCAGCCTCCCAAACAGAAAGTAGACAGATTGGCTACTAAATCATTAACTATATCTATACAAACTGACATATAGTTCCCATTTTTATGCCCCCCCCCCCACCCCCCCCCCCCCCCCCCCCGTAACGGAGGGGGCATTAAGTTTTACCGTTGTCTGTCCGTACGTACGTACGTCCCAAAGTTGGTTTCCCTATCTAACTTTAGTTTGCCTCAAACAAATGTTATGAAACTCATACAAAATGCTTATTACCACAAAACACAGATCAAGTTTGAATTTTGGTGGCGTCACTTTAACCGTTTTAGAGTTATGTCCCTTTACAAATGGAAAAATTGCTGAATTTTTCGTTTCTGTTCTCTTACTGAAGTTTGCCTCAACCAAATGCTATGAAACTTATTCATAACACTTATTACCACAAAACTCAGATCAAGTACAAATTTGGGTAGCATCACTTTTACCGTTCTTCAGTTATGTCCCTTTATAAATTTATATGATATGCAAGCGGGGGCATGTGTCCCATGGACACATTCCCCATTTATTTTTCCTGAGGCACCAGCCTCCCAAACAGAAAGTAGATAAATTGGCTCTAAATCAGTAACTGAATCTACACAGACTGAAATATAGTTCCCATGTTTTTCCCTTAGGCACCAGCCTCCCAAACAGAAAGTAGATAAATTGGCTACTAAATCAGTAATTAAATCTATACACACTGACATAAAGTTCCCAATTGTTCTCATGTCTGTAAATATGCACAAATGAACTGTAAAAAATATGGTTACATCTTAATTTAGAACATTTTTAGGCAGTAAAGCTGCCTTATGCTACCACCCTAGATTTGTGTTCTTCCCACTAAATGGTGTAAAAAGTGCTATTGTTATTATCTAGCTGGCTTATATGTTATTAATAACTAATTGGGCACTTTTTTTCATACTTTCAATTCTGGAATACAAAAAATATGACCAGAATAAAATGCTCCGCTGGGCGCAGCTTGATACGACCGCAGAGGCTGAACCCTGAACAGTTGGGGCAAGTATGGACACAACATTCAAGATTGATACAGCACTGAATTTGGATTGTGATTAAATATTTGACACAGCATAGAATGAATGTGGTGTAAGAACTTTTTTTTTAATTTACCTATTCAAACCATATCATTATTATTAGCTTTTATATATAAATCAGAAATAACCAATTTAAAATGGAAAATTCTAAAGAAAAAAAAAAAGGAAAAAAAAAATCCCCCCCCCCCCACAATTTTTTGAACCCCATTATGATTCATCACCCCCAAACTCAATCCCAGCCTTCCCTTTGTGGTATGGTACCTTGCAGTACAATTTCAGAGAGATCCATACACTTGAACACAAGTTATTGTCTGGAAACTAGAAAAATGCTTATTTTTGGCCACGTTTTGGCCCCTTATTCCTAAACCTTTTGGGCAATTACCCCCAAACTCATTCCAGCTTTACCTTTGTGATATGGAACCTTGTAGTACAATTTTAGAAAGATCCATACACTTACTCACAAGTTATTGTCATGAAACTAGAAAAATGCTTGTTTTTTCCCCTTTTTTGGCCCCTAATTCCTAAAATTTTGAGGCGATTACCCCCAAAATCAATCCCAGCATTCCCTTTGAGATATGGAACCTTGTGGTTGCAATGTCAGAGAGATCCATACACTAACACACAAGTTATGTCTGGAAGTTACAAAAATGCTTATTTTTGGCCCCTAATTCCTAAACTGTTGGTACCATAACCCCCAAAATCAATCCCAACCTTCCTTTTGTGGTATTGAACCTTATGGTAAAATTTCATAGAGATCCACTCACTTAAAATAAAGTAAGAGTGCGAAAACCCATGTGTCTTCGGACGACGACGACGACGACGACGACGCGGACATAATTTGCGGTCGTATAAAAACCTTAAGGGACAACATAGCCACTAAGATAGGCCAACTTGACAACATTTCCATATACGTATGGCTTGGTACATGTGACCTGACATGCTACAATTACAAGACTAAATACATAGAACTACACCCAGATCCATACGAAGCCACAAAAGACACAGTGGATAACCTAAATGAAATTGTTAAAATAGTACAAAATTATCCTGGATGCAAAGTGACGCTCCTAGAAGTACCCCCCATTTCAATCTACCACTGGAACAAAAGCCGAAACCACCCGGACACTAACCAGTATATTAACCAGGACTGCCTATTGGTTAAACACATTCTGGAATTAAACAGCAAAATACGTGAAATAAACCAACTGATACAGGTCTTTCCACCCACACTTTCAGTCGACATCAGTCATAACCAGCAAAAGAGCTCCAAAAACAGACACAAAAGGGTAGCTGATAGGTATAACTTCAACCTATATATAGACGGAATACATCCTTCAGTGCTATTGGCCAGAGTGTGGCTGAAGAAGATTGGAAGGTTAGCTCAGAGTCACTGTTACCAACAGTAGGGTGAAGTTTGCTGTGGATTGGTGATTAGCAGTCGACAGTGGGATTATCCACGACGTACCTACTCACTAATTGGCAGCAGACTTAGAACTTACAACTGACTGGCCTAAACATATCTACACTGATTGAGAAATACGTCCACCAACATAAGAGCAATACGTCCAACAAGGTAGCTGTGTGTTTATACCGTTTCTACCATTAGGTCTGCATTTTGCCTTATAAGTACATATTAACTTATCAAGCTTAACTATAAAGCTTTTATACAGCTTCTATAAGAAGACTATACATACATATATATATATAGATTTTTGCTATTTATTAAACAACAGTACTATAAACAGAAAACAAAGGAAAAGGGGGAACGTCACTAGAGATATATACTTACAGCTCAAATAAAATATAGCCCGCTAACGTCAAGGCCTGTACACAGTCAGTGGAAAGCTGTCGACCGTGGGATTATCCACTACGTACCTCTTCACTGATTGTATACACCTGATAATATGGGGGACAACCAGCAAGTCAGCAGAGTTGGGCGCAGCTTACCAAACAAGAGACAGATCACCAAAGATTATAACCTTAACATCCAGAGAGCACTAATGAATAAGCTCGAGGCAACTAAAAGAGAGGCCCACCTTGAATTAAAAACCACAGGTGGTGGACTGGTCATAACTGCTGATGCTGCTACTTTCGAGCTTATAAAACAGGCAACTGCAATCTACTACACCAGAACGACAGGAGAAAATATCCTAATCCAAGATAGGGATACCAAAAATTAGTACAAACAAAACCAACAATTTACAGCAAATTCAACCAACTATAAAATGGGACAAAGTAGACCAGGATTTATATCTGGCAATTATAAACGAGCAGGTGGATAGCAGAATGCCCAGCTGAGACAGCAGAGGACGCCAACCTCCTTATCAGTAAGATGCACCAAATGCTAACAAAAGCAGCAATTGAGAGCTCATCGAAGAAATCAAGATATAAGGCAAAGCCAAAACTGAAAGTATGGACGCCAATCATCAAAAGTAGTCTGAAAGAGATGAGAAAACGCTATGATGTATGGACTAGAAATGGGAAACCCACCAACCCAGCTGACAAGTCATATCAAGACAGAATTAACACCAGAAAGGAATTTAAAAAGCAGGTGAAAGTTGAGCAGGCCAGAGAGCGAGACAGGGAAAAACAAGAGATATTGGAGGCAAGAACAAGAGACAGTAAGCTGTACCACAAACTCGTAAAAAGCAGTAGGAACAGAAACAGGGCTGGTATAATGGATCTACATGTAAATGACAAATGTTACTCTGGTGACCAAGTAATCGAAGGCTTTACTGAACACTTTGGAAATCTAGCATCAGCAGAAAAATCATCCCAGCTGAAGGATTATCACTATCACGAGCTGGTAGAATATGAGATCGAATTAATCAACGACATGGTAAAAAGTAAGAAAACACCTTTGGCAAACCACACAGAGCTTAAGAAGGCCATAAAGTCATTAAACAAAGGTAAATCTGCAGACATATATGGCATCACAGTTGAGCACCTCATCTATGCAGGAGAAAAAATAGAACAACTACTTTTACTGCTCATCAACCTAGTATTTAAACATGGCTGTATTCCAGACATACTTAAGAAAGGACTACTTACTCCTGTCTTCAAAAACAAGGGGGACCGATGTCATGCTGCCAACTACAGAGGTATAACAGTACTGCCAGTCGTTAATAAGATAGTAGAGGCAATAATCAGAGACAGAATACAACCAAAAGTCCTTCAAGATCAAAATCCAACCCAACGAGGCTTCACGGCAAAATCATCGCCACTGAACGCAGCTCTGGTCGTGGAAGAAGTTTATCGTGAGAGTGTAGACAGCAACCAAGAATTTGAGCTGGTTCTATTAGACGCAAAGTCGGCATTTGATGTAGTGGTACACAGTCACCTAATGCGACGACTCTTTCATTGCGGTATCGACGACACTCTCTGGAGGATAATACAGAGTATGCACTGGCAATCAACGAGTGCCATCAAATGGGAAGGAATGATTGCAGACGAGTTCGCAGTAAGCCAAGGTGTACGACAAGGAGGAATTCTCAGCACTGATTTATACAAGGTCTATGTAAACCCACTCCTGAATAGATTACAGCAATCAGGCCTTGGATGCAAAATTGGTAATGTCCTATGCAATACCACAGCATGCGCAGACGACATAGCATTATTGGGAAAAAGACCACCTGATATGCAGATACAAATAAATATATCTGCTGACTACGCTGGAATGGAAGGCTATAAGCTCCAACCCCAGAAGAGTGTGGCAATACACATCCAACCTAAACCAACCAAGAACAGTTGTGAACCAGAACAATACCAGCTAGGAAAAGATCCAATGCCAAACGTCACAAAATCAACCCATCTTGGTATAATAAGAACACCATCAATGAGACAAAACATCGAATCCAATGTTGAAGAGAATGTTAAGAAAGCAAGAAGAAGTGCCTATGCCCTGCTCGGCAGTGGATTCCATGGAGAAAACGGACTAGATCCTGAAAGCTTAATCCATCTATTTAAGACCTACATATCCCCAGTACTACTCTACGGGATGGAGCTTTTGACACCAAAGTCAGCACACTTGGAAACCCTAGAGAAGTTCCAGAAAAAGATGCTCAAACAAATTCTCTCAGTCCCCATGAGTACTCCTGACCCAGCAGTCTACATCCTAACAGGCATCCTACCAGTCGAGGCACAAATCCATGCCAAAATGATGACATTCTTCTGTAGCATATGTCAGCAAGCAGACAACAGTGTTGATAAACAGCTTGGTAAGAGACAACTCACTGTAAAATCATCAGGAAGCCACAGCTGGTATATTGAAGTACAGAGGGTCATGTTCAAATACAACCTCGGCAGGGCCATGGACATGCTAGATAATGCAGATGTGACTAAAACCACTATCAATCAAATAAAAAGGCAAATTGCTAATTACTGGGCCAATGAAATATCGGTTATTGCCAATCTGTACCAAGGGTTAAAATACCTTCAGATAGATAATTTCAAAGCGGGTAGAATCCACAACATATTGAAGATAAAAAGCTATACCAATAAAGACCGTTCTAGAATTCCAGTCAAACTAAAACTCCTGACAGGAACCTACGCCCTGCAGCCCCTGAGATATAAAATCTATAAGGAGGGAAATCAGGAGATATGTAACGCCTGCAGCCAGAAAGAGGAAACTGTAGAACATCTGTTAATTGAATGTAAAGCTTGGGATAACATCAGAAGGCCAGTCATTAATGATATAGAGAGTCTACTGACAAACCACAGCAATATAGAATGGGAGTCCTTAAGTGAAGGGTTTAAAATACAGATATTGATGGACGTAACCATGGTACAACGACAACTTCGACTAAACAGTGAAGAAGTCTCAAAGATAGAACACCAAGCAAGGCGTCTTATATTCCTTATACACAGTGCCGGATGTAAACTCTTACTACAACCATAGCTGAATGGAAGATATCCTGGTCATGGTCTATGGGAGGGTGGGGTCTGGGATGTAGGGCAGTCAACTCCAAATAGGTCGAACACATAGTATAACATCATAAATGTCAAATGCTCATGAGAGTATTATGCCCATGCGTGCAAAGAACATTATGCTTATTAATACGTAATATGGGTGTGCCGGTGCCAATACAGACTCGAGACGATATCTTTTACCTTTTAAAGTCATTTTATTCTTTATTGTGCTAACATAGATAAGGTGAATATTTAGATTCTATTAGATTTTATGATGTGTAACGACAAGCTCAATACGCGGAGTACAAGTGATTTAAGTAGATTTTACAATGTGAATATAAAGACAATAAGCTCAATCAGAGACATATAATACAAGAGATTCGCAACTCGGCGAAATCCCGTAATAACACGCGGCCACTAGTTAAACCTCGCGAGATCTCCTTAGGTAATAAAGTCATTAATAAAAGTATTAAAAGTACTCGAAGTAAGGACGAATGTTTAAGCATAACATAAACTGTTTCAGTGCTAAATTTATCATAATTAATTAAATAATTTGAGTACATATATAATTATTTATTTTAATGTAATTTTGATTTTAGATTTGTATTAATGAAAAAGAGACATAATTTGATAGTGTATTAAAAAAAACTGATATTAAATAATTAACACTTGATAAATTGTGTCAGAGTTCATTTTATTTGATAGTTACATAATGGGTTTCTATTGAATATACACCTGCCTCGGAGACATAATTTCACAGTGTGACATGTATATTAGGTTTGAATTATTCGATGACCAGGTAAATCACGAACATGTTATAAATAATGAGTTTTAATTGACACCTTGTAAACAAGAAGTTGTTACACCACAGGTGTCCACACTCTTTCCAAAAATACAATTCACAAAATGTAAAATTAATTAATATGGAAAAAAACTTAATTTATTTGTTAATTCATTGTTAATCATGATAGGCTTTGTTTTTTATTCTTGAAATTTATAAATTATTAGAATTTTATTTATTTTTATATTCATCATTTATTGGGCTTTCATTGAGTTTTTTTTCTGTAGGATTGTCGGTAAATGTTTGATTTCTAAGTGTTGTTTGACAGTTTCATCATAGGCTTGCACTGAGTTGTTTTTTTTAAATGATTGTCGGTAAATTTATGGTTTCTTCATGTTCGAAGTGTGTATTGAGAATTAATATTTAAGAAAATTACAATTAATTTCTCATTTGAATAAAGCTTCATTCATGTGCACGCAATATGGAATTTTATTTCGTGGGATGACAATCTTAATAGTTACGACTTAAATATACTCCTAGTTGAATAAACTGATAACGAACTCTTTGTTGATAGTGAAAAGGACGAAAACATAAGCGAGAGACCCACCAACAAAAACAATTGACAATACTGCATACATAGATGGATATGTGTGTCCTCAAAGCAACAAAAAATCTATAAAAAAACACAACATTGAAGTGGGAGCCGAGGTCATACAGCAACATGGAAGACACTATTTAAAAAAAGTATTTTATAACCTTATTTCCACGAGACAATCATTTGTAGTGGTTTTTGTCTTCTTATATTGGGGTAAAGAGATGGCAATTTAAAAGTGAGATTGTTTATGTGTATACATATACAAATCCTTGGTGTAAATAAAATCTTTTATTATCAAATATATATATATATATATTATATATCTTTTGCAGTCACCATTGAAATGTCCTCAATACGATTTTAATTTAAAAATGAATTAGGTTCATGTTTTGAATGAGAAGCGTAGTCTGAAACGACAACAGATGCATGAAGCTCATTCATAATATTGCGACCAGCAGAAGGTTTCCTTTACAAGGAAAATTTTACTCCTTTTGTAAATTTACTGCATTCGTTCATCTTTGGCACCCTAAAAAGAAGAAAAAAACAATGACTTCAGAATAGGAGAAGATAAACAACTTTGCCATAAACAGAATGAAAAATGAATAAATTGTCTAACAAAATGCAGGCTATAAATTTCATAGTGCACAAAAAAGAAGGACTGATTTAAGGAAATTTGTCAATGAACAATTTCAATATTTAGCCAGTTCAGAGACATATAATACAATATATGTCTCTGGCCAGTTTAATAAAAAAAATTCGGGTATCAACCAGAAAAAATCGCCACATTGTTGGATCAAATTTTACGAAAATAGTCTTATTTTCACGAAACAACATTTAGGAGTATTATTGCCCCATAAAATTATATATTTATTAGCATATTTCCAAGTTTTAAGAAAAAAATTGGGAGATCAAATGGTTTCTACGGCAATAGGTGAAGTAAAATGGGCCGAGTTTTAACTTTGTTTGTATTTGATTAATCTCATCATAAGAACACATTTTATCAATAACAAATTATTAGAATTAGTTTTTTGTAACTTTTAAATATACTTGCATGCTTTAGCTGTGAAAGGTATCGGATTTATCCATTAGAAAAATCGTGAGGCGTAGAACCTTTTTCACAACAATAGCATGTTTTTACCCATAAATCCATCGGATTAATCGGCTTTCCGGTGGCCACGTCATTTCATTGGCTGTTATATAGACTCTACTAGAGTTGCGAATCTCTTGTATTATATGTCTCTGGCTCAATGAGCCGACTTTTTAGATTCTAAGGCGAACTATCTTAGATTTTAGATTTTAGAGTGCGAATCTGATTGAAGTAATTATTTTACAACGTTTCTTTTTACGTATGAACTATTTTACCACGTAAACATAAATAATCCCCCTGTAAATATGTCCAGTAACTAGCCTATGAATTTTAAATGCAACTAAGAGTACACACAACAAGTTATGCGAGTAACTACAAAAGTGAACCTGTATATATTGGTGGAGGATAGTATTATTCAAAATAGAGTGTACATATATTTCTTCATTCATGGTGGTGGGTTTTGTTCTACATGCCGAACAGATATTGTAGCGGTGTGGTTGTCCTACAAAGGATGTGAAGATTTGGAAAGAAAGAAGATCGTCGAACTACCCAAAACTTTTGAAGTTGCACATAGGAAGTAGTGCTCAATAGAAATCCGTACGTAGTTTATCATCCCATGTGCTTTTGGCTAAGATGTCAAAGAACAATTGTATGAAATATTTCATCGCCGAAAATCTCTAATTACAAGTCGTTTACATTTCCCAAATGGCCAAAGGCGCAGGAATATTGTTCATGTACACCAAATCTCTATGATAGAGGAAATAACGGTCTCACTAATTAGCGACAACAAGAATTTTAGCGACAAGAAGCGTCAACAAGCGACAAGAAGCGACAACAAGAATTATTTTAGCGACAAGAAGCGACAAGAAACTATTTAGCGACAAGAAAACATATTTTTTTTAATTAAAATTAATTATTGCAATAAATATTAAAAGAATATGCAAAAGAAAATAATTTTAGCGACAAGAAAGTTAAAATTGATAGAAAAAAATGAAACATTATTTACATAATATTTTATCATCTATTATGTATAACAGCCAGTATTACGTTTAATTATTGTATTATGAGATTACTTTTCCTTGTGTTTTAGAACATATTATTTATCTTATAATTTGTTTTTTAAAACTCTTTTCGTGCAATATATATTAAGCTCGCAAAATGAATTATTTGTGCATCATTGTCCTGAAAATATTGACACAAATTGTGAAATACAAAGAACTGAAATCAAACAAGAGGAAAAGAAAATTGAAATTTAAATGTTTTCATCTTTTTATTTGTTTATTGCCTCATTAAACGATATTTATCATGTTTATGCATATTGATTGAAGATGAAAGGAAATTAATGACAATCTTGAGTTTTCAACAGGTGTTCACTATTTACAATGATTGTATATTCTGGCGCGTGTAATTGTATAGTCTGACGCGTGTACAAAGTTGAAGGTGTTAATTGGATGTTATTGTAGCAATAAAAAAGGGGACACGCGCCTCGTTAATCTCATTTGATGTTCCACATTGTGTGTACTGTTATTACCTTAGGGTGAAGCCACATCTAATGTTGTTCCTATCAAGAACAATGAATTATACTGTTAGAAAGGAAATTATATTTCATGTTTTTGTTTCAATAAATCCTTCAAAGGAAAGTTGACCTTTTTTTGTTTTTGTTTCAGTTTTATAGAGTGTGCATTTCCTTTGCTCTACCAAGCTGACTGAAGCCATTCAACTTTCATGTTTAGTATAAAGTAAATTGTCAGCATTTCAGTATTATTCTCGCACAAGTACGTGCTCTGTGCAATTGCTAGAATCTAAAACGCAACTCGGTTTACCTTTGATTAATAAATCAGTTACTTTGTACGTCTTTGATACTGCGCGGTATCAAACGAACCCTTTGGTACAGGGTTTCAATTTCCTTTTGGGCAAGGGAAAAAAAGGTTACGACTCGAACTTCGATAAATGCATATTAGAAGTATTATAATTATACTATAGTGGACACGTCCGTTCATGATATCCCCTTGGGCAAGGGTAAATATTGAAACGCACTTATTTTGTCACATCGCCGTGTCAAACTGAATCCCTTGGGATAAGGGTTTTCCTCTTGGGCAAAGGAAATAGTAAGGGAAGTTATACCCTGCAATATTAGTCTTACACTCTAAAAATGGCACACCCATGTGGTAACTGTTCAAAAAACTGCACTCGAATGTGTGTGTTTTGTGAAAAATGTGAAACACGGTTTCACCAAAAATGCCAGAAATTAACAAAAGATCAGTTTCGGATCTTAAGTCAGACTAAAAGCTGTGATTTCATATGCACACAATGTTGTCATACAAAAGATCATAAATTTGACTATGATCTTTCTATTAGTAGATTAGAAGCTTATGCAAGTAAAAATTTGTTGACGGATGGCGTAAATTTTTTTTTTAGATTGAACTTAATATTGTTTTGATACTGCAGCTAAAAGAAGTTACAATAATAGCCAATATAAAACATTGATTTCCATCCCTAAATGAGTCTATGATTGTGAAGAAAAATGATGTGAATTGAAATTGAGATTGTGCAAAATATCACTTTGTGATTAATTATATTTAGGAAACAAACATAACATGACGTGTTCCTGCTAAAGTATAAAAATTATAAAATGTACATTTCAGGCTAAAGAAAGAAAAATGAGTGACTCTGAAAATGAAGAGGAATGGGTGGTTAAGAGGCACAAAAAAGAAAAGAAGGAATTACAGGCTAAAATACAACAGTTAAAACATAGTGTGTCAAAAGGAGATAAAAAGAAGAAGAAAGAAATTACAGAACAGATAGCAAAGTTAGAGGGTGAACTGAATGACAAACATGCAACAGAGCTAAAAGAATTAAAAGACAAATCAACACAGGAGGTGACAAATTAATACTAGATTAAATTAAATTTAAGAAGTTTTAAAAATATGAATATTGATTTTTCTTTGTGGCATTTTGTTGATAATTTTATCATTGGAAGTTTATTCAAATCTTATTTTTACTAGACTGGAAGATTATTTAGCTTTATGCAAGTATAGGATAATTTGATAAATGTATAAAAATAGACTCATCATAGATACCAGGATTAAAATTTTGTACCCCAGACGCACATTTCGTCTACAAAAGACTCATCAGTGATGCTTGAATTTTGAAAAAATTTCCAAATAAAGTACGAAGTTGAAGAGCATTGATGACTCAAACTTCCAAAAGGTTTTGCCAAATACAGTTAACATAGTCTATTCCTGGGGTAGAAATACACTAGTATTTCGAAAAATTCAATGTTTTGTAATTATTAATTTCAAAATCTAAGTCATTCATGCAGATATTTCCAAAAGTAAACACCAGAATCTGTAATTGGTTGACAATATTATAAGCAATAAACAATCAAGGAATGGAGAAGTAGCATTTATACTTTGCTGTTTGAAGAATGAAATTCTACATAGTCCTTTAGGATAAAAAATTGGCAAACTTTGACTTTCTGACATACAAAACATTTCATTTCTGTCATTGTCTGTTGGAATTTGTATTTCATGTACTTACCACAGGCTCTTGTCTCTGAGAAAAATTACCTATAATATATTATCTAACTTTAGTTTGCTTCAACCAACTTATACACAATGCTTAAAAAAAACTGCACTCGAATGTGTGTGTTTTGTGAAAAATGTGAAACATGGTTTCACCAAAAGTGCCAGAAATTAACAAAAGATCAATTTCGGATCTTAAGTCAGACTAAAAGCATATGTACACAATGTTGTCATACAAAAGATCATAAATTTGACTATGATCTTTCTATTAGTAGATTAGAAGCTTATGCAAGTAAAAATTTGTTGACGGATGGCGTAAATTTTTTTTTTAGATTGAACTTAATATTGTTTTGATACTGCAGCTAAAAGAAGTTACAATAATAGCCAATATAAAACATTGATTTCCATCCCTAAATGAGTCTATGATTGTGAAGAAAAATGATGTGAATTGAAATTGAGATTGTGCAAAATATCACTTTGTGATTAATTATATTTAGGAAACAAACATAACATGACGTGTTCCTGCTAAAGTATAAAAATTATAAAATGTACATTTCAGGCTAAAGAAAGAAAAATGAGTGACTCTGAAAATGAAGAGGAATGGGTGGTTAAGAGGCACAAAAAAGAAAAGAAGGAATTACAGGCTAAAATACAACAGTTAAAACATAGTGTGTCAAAAGGAGATAAAAAGAAGAAGAAAGAAATTACAGAACAGATAGCAAAGTTAGAGGGTGAACTGAATGACAAACATGCAACAGAGCTAAAAGAATTAAAAGACAAATCAACACAGGAGGTGACAAATTAATACTAGATTAAATTAAATTTAAGAAGTTTTAAAAATATGAATATTGATTTTTCTTTGTGGCATTTTGTTGATAATTTTATCATTGGAAGTTTATTCAAATCTTATTTTTACTAGACTGGAAGATTATTTAGCTTTATGCAAGTATAGGATAATTTGATAAATGTATAAAAATAGACTCATCATAGATACCAGGATTAAAATTTTGTACCCCAGACGCACATTTCGTCTACAAAAGACTCATCAGTGATGCTTGAATTTTGAAAAAATTTCCAAATAAAGTACGAAGTTGAAGAGCATTGATGACTCAAACTTCCAAAAGGTTTTGCCAAATACAGTTAACATAGTCTATTCCTGGGGTAGAAATACACTAGTATTTCGAAAAATTCAATGTTTTGTAATTATTAATTTCAAAATCTAAGTCATTCATGCAGATATTTCCAAAAGTAAACACCAGAATCTGTAATTGGTTGACAATATTATAAGCAATAAACAATCAAGGAATGGAGAAGTAGCATTTATACTTTGCTGTTTGAAGAATGAAATTCTACATAGTCCTTTAGGATAAAAAATTGGCAAACTTTGACTTTCTGACATACAAAACATTTCATTTCTGTCATTGTCTGTTGGAATTTGTATTTCATGTACTTACCACAGGCTCTTGTCTCTGAGAAAAATTACCTATAATATATTATCTAACTTTAGTTTGCTTCAACCAACTTATACACAATGCTTAAAAAAAACTGCACTCGAATGTGTGTGTTTTGTGAAAAATGTGAAACATGGTTTCACCAAAAGTGCCAGAAATTAACAAAAGATCAATTTCGGATCTTAAGTCAGACTAAAAGCATATGTACACAATGTTGTCATACAAAAGATCATAAATTTGACTATGATCTTTCTATTAGTAGATTAGAAGCTTATGCAAGTAAAAATTTGTTGACGGATGGCGTAAATGTAGAGAAAATATTGCTAAGAAAAGAACCACTAACACAAATTATTGGGGAGACAAACCATACATATTCTGCAATGAGCTCTTTGGTTGAAGACAGGGTTTCTAGACAAATATTAAATGAACAAAGCATGATTATTAAAGAAAGAAACCCTGTCCAAGTCTCAACAAATGGCAATTGTCTCTTCAATTCTTTGTCAGTGGACATGTGTGGCAATGAAAGTCTTGCAACAAGACTGAGAGTTTTGACTTGTATAGAGATGGTGTCAAATAAGCTAATTTATGATACATCTAAGCACAATAGACTAGAACTTGTCTCACCATCATATGATGAAGCTTGTAAGGCTGCCGCCAAAAATAGAGCATTTTCGTCCGCATGGACCATTCTTGCCGCAGCGTCGGTATTGGGTTGTCCAATTCAGTCAGTATATCCACCCCGAAATGGGTTTATGGACAAGACAGTCGGTATCTTAAACACCATGTTTGATCCATTGCAAATTCAGTCAAATGATCCAATTGTTATACTATGGACCAGTTCTGGTCATGGGCGCAGTCCGATATAGACTCCAGATCACTTTGTGCCGCTAGTTAAAGCTAGCCACAATATATCTGTTATTGATATAGACAGTATGCATGACTTTCCTATTTTAGATAGCACAAGAAATGAATCAAATGTGTGTCCAACAATTTTCGATACCACTGTTAAGTCTCTAGATGAATCTTTCGATTCAGTTGATCAAGGCAATAAACGCAGTGACACATGTCATGTAGAATTAGATAACTCTTATACTAACTGATGTAAAGGTAGACAGCATATCTTGCAAGCTCGAAGCAAATGAATCAAATGTATCAACTGATTCAAATATTCAAAATGAAAATATAATTAAAAACACTTTAGATGGCAAGTTTCTATCAATTGATCAGATTTTAAATGTGCTGGTAAATGAAAATGTTTCTCATACTGAGATACCACGCTCGGTTAAAGAGAATTAGTACTTTGTGCTAGACAATCAATCAAATATGACTAGGAAAGCTAAGTCTAAGAAAATGGAGTTTTGGGACGATTGTGGAACATGGGATTCCAAATCAACCTCAACTAAAACAACATATTTTGTAGTACAAAATGATAACAATTTGGTTTCTTGTGTTAAAAAGAATGATATGTATTGTAAAATAATAAAAAAGGAATTTATTCCTTTAGAACCACAACCTGATGATTCTAATTTGTTCATCCTTAAACGGTATTATGCATCTCTTAAAAGAATGAATTCTTACAAAAAAAGAATTAGTTGGTTGGATAAATTGCCTGGCCATTCATTGGAAACAATGAATAAAGCCATAGCAGAGTACATAGGAACTTATCCTATTGAAGTAGTTAACAAGCATGGTAACGCTAAACTGACAAATCAAGAATATATCAGAACATCACCTGATACTAAATCGCAAGTTAGATCAGAAATAGAAGCTGGAAAATCAGTTAAACAAATTTTCACTGATAACTTTGAATCTGAACATCAGCCACGTGACTCAAAATATGTCCAAAACGTTAAATATCATGTTAATAATGAAAAAAATCCTTTCAACAAACAAAATATTGCTGATGATATGCAAACTGTTATTAACATGAATTCTGCTAAGCATCCTTTTTTGAAAGAAATTGTTCAGACCACAGGCAAACCACCAAGTGTTATCTGCTACACAGATTTCCAAATGAAGCATTTTGCCAGTGCTTGTAAATCATCAATAATTGGTGTTGACAGAACATTCAATTTGGGCGCCTGCTTTGTCACAACAACTGTTTTCCAGGAAAACAAACTTAAACGCAAAGGGAAAAACACAAACCCAATAATAATGGGACCAATTTATTTGCATTGGGATGGTGCTTGCCACACCTACCAACGTTTTTTTACTCATATTGCATCAGTGCTTGATACAACAATAAGTGATACCTTGCTTAGTTATAGCAATCTTGTGATTGGTTCAGATGAGGAAAAGGCTTTAGTAAAAGCTATCAAAGACAGTTTTCCAACATCTGAACTCACATTGTGCACAAGGCACTTGAGTGAAAATGTTACAAGGCATTTGAGAACAAAGGTTGGCGTAAATGACAAGAACGCAAAACAAATTTTATCAGACTTATTTGGGGATAACGGTCTGATAGAAGCAGATACGACGGTAGATTTTTCCGCTAAGGTTACTGATATTGAAAGAAAATATGAAGACCTCGTTGGTCCATATCTTACGCAAAAAGTTATTCCTACTATAAGGGATTACGTGTACAATGCTCGAAAAACAGAGTCGAGAATTCCATTGCAATGGAAAAACAATAATTGTGAATCAATCAATCACATCTTGAAACTAAATCAAGATTGGAAGCCTGAGAAACTTCCAGAGTTAATTAATAAAATTCACAAAGAAATAAAGTTGCAAGAAAGTCTTGTCAATGGCGCACTTTATGGACATGGAGACTTTGAGCTAAGCTCCTCAGTAAGCCATTTTCAATGCACAAAAGCTCTATGGCAGATTAAATCGGAGAAAGAAAAGGCTTTTGCATTGCAAAAATTCTTGACTCATGGGAGAAAGTTAAACGCAATCCCAGAGTCCACCACTTCAACAGATGGTGGGCTGACAATCCCCAAAACAAGTGCATGTGCACGTAAACCTTGCCAACGGAAACGTATTAAAAATGCTAAAACTACAACTTCAAAAAGGGCAAAATTACAGTGAACCTTAGTGGTAAAAATCCACCGCTTATCAAAATGGGACCACCATGTACAAAATGTATAAATATTATGTTAGATAGGAATGTACATATTACTATATAATGACTAAAAATAATTAAAAAAAAAAAAAAAAAAATTATATGGACCCCAAGGTAGAACCACGTCCTCGTCGTGGGGTCTGGAAACACGCTTAAATAATAAAGATGGCAAAGCGTGGCTGAGAGTTCTACAAATAAAGCATCGAATTGACATAACAAGAGTACACTTAGAGCATAGTATTAAGCAAATGAATCAAAATATTATATTCCATTATGCCCGCTCCATATATATCTCCATTCGTTTATTCATACTTTGACTTTGATGAAAACAGATACATACATTATCTTATACATATTCTTCATATTTAAAAATAAAAAAAAGAAGCTCAATCTCTTTCTTCTTCACAAATGTTTAATTTCTTCATCTACCAATATACTAATATAAACTTCACAATCTCTTTCTTCCTCACAAATGTTTCATTTCTTCGTCTATCTATATAATAAAACATTTTAATTAGACATATCTGCTAGTATATTTAAAAAAAAAACATTAAATACAAATTTCTTTATATCTAATAAAAAAAAAAAATGTTTTCTTGTCGCTAAATAGTCTTCTTGTCGCTTCTTGTCGCTAAAATAATTCTTGTTGTCGCTTCTTGTCGCTTGTTGACGCTTGTTGTCGCTTCTTGACGCTTGTTGTCACTAATAAGTGAGACCCGGATATAAAGTTATATGTAGTAGTCTAAGTTGGCGGTAATTTTAACTTACACAAAACGTAAGGTAAGTATTCTGATGTTTTAAAGTAAGTTTTGTTAATAATGATGTTCTTTTCGTTTAAGAAGATTGTGATTATTTTATTTATTTCAATTAAATGTATGCACATTTAAATTCCTTTCTTTTATTATATTATCCCGTTTATCACTGACCTTGGCAGTTGTTGTTGTTTTTATGAATGTTGTTTTTATGAATGAAAAAGATCCGAAAATCGACGTTGATGGGATGTTTTAAGAAATGTGGACAACTCGTCCCCGAGACAAGTCGGACCGAGTCCACTCTGACCATCTTAGAAGACAACTCGGACCGCTTGTCAGATTTACTTAGGGTTTCATAAAATGTTAAGACTAACATGTCTAGCGGAGTTATCAATCTTTCGTTTGTGCATTGGGGTCTATTTAAGGGTATTTCGAGGGGCCTAAATAAGGGAGGGGTTTACTATAGAACACTATGGGATTTTATTTTTTTCAATTTTCAAATGACTATTACTTGAAAACAGTAAGTGATAGACACACA